ATGAATGATTAGTCACTCATATTGAGGAGATCGAGAGGTGATATACATGTTTTCTCTCTTATGATAAAAATCATAAATTTAGATTAAAAATACAGAAATAGTCCTATAATATGTGTGATTTTTTTATGAATTTCATGTGACTGAATGCGCTGCCGACATATTGTGATTTTCATAGAGATATAGTATATTTGCATGTTTATATATGTTCAATTTTTGTGGAGAGAGAATACCGTGGGCTTGTTCGGTAGTAATTATGAGAATTGATTTTTTAACCATTAAGAAGAAAAATAGGTTCCATCTATAAATAAAGAAGTAAAAAAATGACTACTGAAATAGTGAAATAACAATAAAAAGATTAATTTTTTGGGGTGAAAAATTGCTACCAAACGATGACTATATATATTATAAATAAATTTGATCGAGCGAACAAATGAAATGTTGTTATAGCTTGAGAGGAGAAATTAAATCGGACAATTTGTGGTGAAATTGTGTCATTACACCTTAATTAATAGAACTTTTCTCAATTTTAGATTATTGTTCAACTTCTCATAGTTTTAACTTAATTTTAATTTTAGTTTATAATCACCTTAAAATGGAAAATTCAAATAAAGTTAAGGCTACAAATTTTAATAATGTAGTTCTTGTGAGGAGGACCATCTATTAATCACTTATTACTTGTCGCAGGATTATACACTTATGAGTACTATTAACACGAGCACTACAATGAAAGGCAAAAATTTTATTTTTAAATGATAAAATAGACATTTTTGTCAAGGATATTAGCCAAGATAAATTAATTAGTTCTTAAACTAAGTCCCATTGGTTCATTTAAAATCTAAGTCAAATCTATTATTAACTTTAATCACATATTTATGGGATCCACAATTTCATAATTATATACTTCATTAACTTTTATTAAAATCTACTAAAAAATAATTTTTATCTAAACTAAATAGGGGCTAACTGTCCAGCCAAAAGTACCTTTACGAAATGTAATCTTTTTTAAGCATGACTCAACGTGAACCTTTCAATTATATAGTAAATCTCTTCATTCCCTTCCTTTTGGCCATTGAATGAAAAATCATTATTCTCTTTAAATAAACAAAAATAAATGAAAAGCAGTTAAAC